CACAGCATCCCCAGACAGACACAGCACCCCCAGACACACATAGCACACCCCAGACACACACAGCACACCCCCAGACACACACAGCACAGCACCCAAACACACAAAGCACCCTCAGACACACACAGCGCATTCAGTCATGCACACATCACACTCCCAAACATACACAGCACACACACATATATATATATATATATATAAAATAACCCTCAGTGAGTTAATAGACAAAGAAAATTAGAAACCTAGAATGTGACAGCAGATAAAAACACCCTCACACACAGCACCCCTCTTACATACACACACTGCGCTCCTCACACATACAATACGTCCAAATATATATATACACACACTACAGCACCCCTCACACTGCACCACTACACACATTACGCTCCAGATACACGCTAGATCCCTTACCCTATATGCACTCTTAATCATCTACACACACACACACACACACACTAGATCTCCTACACACACACACTACATTCCTTGTCAGCAAACACATACAACATTCTCCAAACACACCCTCTCTTCATCCCCTATAAAACTATGCCCCCTATACACACACTCTCTACAGCCCCTAGCCACACATATTACACAACAAACACAAATTAAATTGACCTATTTACACAATACCACACCACACTCTATACACACGCAATCCCACAAGCAAGCTTCAAACATATGCACCGTGCACTTTCCTGGCCCTTTTGTCCTCTGGTATCCCACTTGTGGAGACACCAGAGACAATTTAAAAGCAAACACAGCGCAAGCATGTTATTAAATTTGCTTGCGCTGCGCAGAACAAATTCAGGGCCTTTTTCTAATGCCAGAGCTCTTCAGCAGGGCTATAGGCATTGAACCAACATGCTCACTTTGAGAGGGGGTGTGCTTGTCATTAGTGATGACAAAACACACCCTCTCTGGCCCCGCCCCCTTCTTAGGGGGCCACTCTGATTGAAAAATGCCCGGGCCTAATTTTTTTCCCAGTCCGGCCCTGCCCCTAGACAACCTTGCTTTATATAAAACCTTTAAAAGCTTATTAATAGTAAATCTGTGTGGTACAAAGAGGGATACACAAAGAGGGGGTGTGAGTTAGGTAATCCCGACCTGCATATGGAATATGCTTCCTCCTTGTTCACTTTTGTTCCTTGTTGGTCTGTGACTGGCCCTTTTTGACCCCAAATGATTTTTTTGGGAAGATACAGCAATTGTGGATAGCAGGGTTACTGAAAAAATGAGTGCCCAAACCCACCCCCACAGATTCCTCAATATCAACCACAGCTTCCAATCTATACCCACACCCAACAGCCCCAGCCTAATACACAGATGGTTCATGTTTTTAATATTTTACATAGTTTTAGGTGTTAATCCAAGAGTATTGAATTATTCGGGAGTATTAAAGTAATAAATTTTGAATATCAAATCAAGGTTCCAGTTTAGGAACAGAGTTTAATTGGGAATTATCCCCATATGTATATGTTAGTGTTTTAATATTCATCCTAACAAGGATTTCTATAGAGTGAGTGCTACTCTCATCCGTACAAAGGCATTCCAAAGGGGTTTATGTAAAACTTCATAGAAGACAGATTGCATAAAATATAAGCAAATGTAAGAGAAGTACATGTTACACAAGTTAAGGGTTTAACCTTAATCTCTAATTTAAATTTTAGCCTAGGTAATTAATTAATGATGTTGTATTGATCCTTGTGTTTGTATGATTGTAGAGACCGTCCTGGAGTGTTTGTGCCGCCTGATTTCTGGGACTACACACCAATCTCTCTGGCTGACCACGCAATAAGTATTTTGCAATTACATCTCTTTGGTCATAATCCATGCAGGCCAAAGAAACTGAGATACTTATTTATGAGGACATAAACTTTGCACGCAAGAACCTGGAAAGTCCTGAAGGTGCAGTGCTGTCTAATACCGCTGGTTCTGTAATAACCCTTTCAACCATTGAGGTGTTGCACAGAGCTTTGTGGTGAAAATCCAGCAAACAAAAGAAGAACTAAGAACTATTTGGAAGCTGACATTGTCTTGTTGTCAGCCATATTGCTACCCTTAGCCATTTTTATGGAACAAAATGTCTGGTGTCTAAACTGATTTCTTTATACTCTGTGAAAGACTTATTCTATTTTTCTGAACTATGCTGAACTATTGAACTATTTTTATTTTTATTTTTGTAGAGTTAGCCGGAGAGAGAGGAAGTGTTAGCTGACCCAGGGATGAATGTATTATGTCTGTTTTTGATATATGTTCAATGTGCCAAGGATGGATTCCCATGTTTTGAGGAACTGCGTGAGGATATGACTGCTTTTGACTGGACTTTTGGAATAGCGAAAAGGTTAAAAGATATAGGACGCAAGGTCCTCGTTGTGATTATTGTCAGAATTTCAAGCTAGATTATAATTTATCTCATGAATTAATATGTAAGAAGTGCTTCCCAATTTCTCCCAATACCCAAGCTATGTACTCACAGGTGCGGGTATTTTAAGTCATAAGTGGTGTCAACTGTGAGGGGATGACATGTCTAACACGATCGCGGCCCCCACTCAGGTTTTCCCTAGATGTTCTTTTTCCTCAAATATGAGTTTTTGCCACTGGGTTTTTGCCTGACCAAAGATCATCGGGTGGACTGGTAATCCTAGACCCGGGTCATTGGACGGGGGATAGGTATTATTCCCACTCTGACTATATGCGCCCACTTGCGTGGATGAAGGAGGAAAACAAATATTGGGAATAATATACTTTGCCCCTAGGGCTTATGATACAGATGGCATGTTGGTTAGTCTGTTTAAAATTGGTTAACATGTCAGCTATTTGCAATAATTATTGTTATGGTTCTGGTCCTTGCTCTACTTGTTTATGCTATTTTTAAGACTATTGTATTCTGCATTTACAAACATACATGCAACACTGTTCCTGTAAAATCCCCAGCTTGCTATGATGAGTATCTCCAAATGTATACACATAACCGAAGCAATGGTGAACATGCTGATACAGATCTATAAGTTTGTGGTACTGGTCAGATGACTAGTCCTATGCTATGGGAATAGTGGCCGAAGACATAATGAAAGACCTGCAGGATTGACTAGCAATCCTGAATATACCATGGCAGATGGCTGGTTGTCTGACCAGGACTCCTTAAATGGGGTATGAGCAAGGTCTTGCTCAAAGAGGGGAATGAAGGGAAGGGGTTAATGATTCTCATCTATAATTTCTGATATTATATTCTCTTTCTTAAGATTTACACAAGAGCTAAAAACTAGACAAACCACAGGTTATTTTTGATTTATCACTTCTGCTTTTGAATCAACAGACGCATCCGCAAACTAACATTGACCGTGGTCTTTTGCAAGATCAGCTATTTCCGCTTTTAGCAACATTTATCTTTTGTAAGCACATTATAACCAAAGTATGTCAAAGTTCATAATCAATACTGTATAAATATGCCATCCTTTTTATAATACATTTGAAGATTATGGAAAGCAAAGAGTGTGTGTCTGGTTAATACGCTTCCATAAAAATCTTCCCTGAATATTCAGCTGACAATCGAGGGTTGGAGAATAGTGACCAGAGGGACCGAGTCACCAGAGTAGCAAATTTACCTTTCAGTAGGGTTATATTGGTTCTTGTTTTTGGCATGGCAAGTGGTTCCAACATGGCCTAGCAGTGTTGTTCTTTCATCTGTAATGTGCTTTGTGTTTATGTTTTTTCGGTTTCAGTTTAACAAATGTGAAATACAAGTACTGTATGTAATATTTGACCATGATGTACTGTGTTGTCGTTTTAATGTTAGACAAAAATAAAGAATTAAAAAAAAAAAAAAATTCTAGGCAATTAAGTAAACTTAAATTTTAAACGCAGCATGCCTGCCTAAACCTTTAAACTTTACTATATATCATTGCTCCCAGTATTGTCAAAAATCTTAGAAAAATGTGTCCATACGCAACTATGTGAGTATTACCATCAATCTAACTACCTGACCCCTGATCAATCAGGTTTTCGCCCGAATCAATCCACTACAACTGCCCTCTTAAAAGTTTGTAATGACATCCAAACTGACATGGAATAAGGAGACCTAACTGGAGCAATTTTCATGGGTTTTGCAAAGGCCTTTGACACAGTAGACCACGACATTCTACTGCACAAACTCAAAAACTCAGGTATTGGTGATCGTTCGCTAAACTGGTTTCGATCATATGTTTTGGATCGCTCGCAATATGTGTCCATTTCTGACAGCGACTCCCTCCCTCTACCAGTCACATGCGGTGTTCCCCAAGGTTCCATTCTCGGCCCCCTACTATTTACATTATTTATAAATGATCTGCCTAATATCTGAAAATCCTCAAATGTACGCATGTATGCAGATGACACAGAAATCTATGCAAGCAAATCGATCTACCGCAGCTTGAGACTGTGCTCTAAGACCAGTTTACAGAGGTAGAAAATTGTATCACAAAAAACAAACTCTTCCTAAACACTGACAAAACTGTCACAATGATCTTCGGAACAATATCTAAATTACACAAATTGCCAAATTCCCACCTATCCATCAAAACAAAATCAAATGGCACACTGACCGCAGTCCACTCTTTCAAATACTTTGGTATGTTGTTATACCCCAATCTATCTTTTGGCCTGCACATAGAAATACTTGCATCTAAACTTTATCCAAAACTAGGTGCCGTGTACAGAAACAAATCCTGCCTATGCCTTACAGTAAAGGAACAGATTGTACAGCAAATGCTGATGCCAATCATTGGTTATGGGGATGTAGTATATGCACCTGCACTGCAAGCAAACCTTAATAAACTTAATACATTGTATAACTCGTTCATGGGCGTCCGCAGGGGGGGGGCAAGGGGGGGCACTTGTTCTGCTATTTTTCGTGTGAGATTTAAAATGAACTGCAATACCGGCGCCGGCCAGTAGGTAGCGCTGTGTATGGAGAGAGACAGGGATAGGAAGCTGCATCTTATCCCTGCTTCTCTCTGCTGATTGAAACCGCAGGGGAGCAACACATGCAGCCAGCAAAGAGAGCCTACAGATCAGGTAAGTGAGGGATGGGGGGAGGGTTTGAGAGGGGGGCAGCAGCCTATAGATTTGGGGGAAAGTGCGTCTGGCGATATTAAAGTACTGATTTGAGGCAGCAGCGTTCAGATTGGGGAGGGCAGCAAGCCTTAGATTTTGGGCAAGCCTATAGATGGCTGGGGGGGGTAGCCTGTAGGATTTGAGGGGCAGCAGCAGCCTATAGATTTGGGGAGGGCAGCAAGTCATAGGATTTGAGGGCAGCAGTGCAGCTGCGATAGATTTGGGCAGCAGCCTATAGATTTTGGGGCAGCAGCCTAGATTTTGGGCAGCTGCCTGCGATTTTGGGGCAGCAGCCCATAGACGGGGCAGCAGCCTATAGATCTCTGGGGGCAGCAGCCTATAGATTTGGGGAGGGGGCAGCAGCCTGTAGATTTGGGGCAGCAGCCCAGCAGATTTTGGGGAGTGGGGCAGCAGCCCATATAGATTTGAGGACAGCAACAGCCTTTAGATCTAAAGTAGGCAGCAGCCCATAGATTTTGGGGCAGCAGCCCATAGATTTGGGGAGGGGCAGCAGCCTATAGGATTTGGGGGCAGCAGCCTCATAGATTTGGGGAGGGGGCGTTCCGGTGATTTGGGGCAGCAGCCCAGATTTTTAAAGCAGCAAGCCCATAGATTTGGGGAGTGTGCTAAGCAGCCCATAGATCTGGGGCAGCAGCCCTTAGATCTAAAGGGCGCACCACAGATTCCAGCATCCATAGATTCGTGCTGCCGTTCGGCTGCGATCTGTGATGTGCGTTGTCGACAGGCCTTTCAAAGGCAAGTTCATAGATCTAAAGTGCTGCTGTTCACAGATTATATAGAAATGAACAGGAAGGGTCAGCAAGGAGCTTGAAGGTAAAGTAGGAGAAAGAGCAGAAAGGGACAGCAAGGAGCACAAAGGTAAAGTAGAAAAGGGAGCAGAAAGGGATCAGAATGAGAAAGGAGCAGAAGGGCGCAAAATAAGCAGAAAGTAGCAGAAAGGTAAAAGAGCAGAAGGGGCCAAGGATAGAAAACAGTGTCAGAATAAAAAAAAAGACTGTCAAATGAAGGAGAGGAAAAGGAGATTGGAGCAGGAAGGACAAATGAAGTGAACCCTCCACTTTATTCTGGACACCACATTATAAGGCTTTGGTACCTGGGCCAGGCAGGGAAACACTGGACCTTCTCATCTCCAAAGGTAAAAAAATATCGGTGTTAATGTGTTCACTTTTATTTACTGAGTGTCAGGAAGCACAGAGTGCCGTTGGGTAGGGGTGTTGCTGATTGGCTAGAGCGGTCAGCTGGCACTCTAAACCAATCAGTAGCTCCCCATTCATAAATATTTTATGAACCG